GGTACATCAGAGACAATGAGATTGGCTTAGGAGAGGGCAGAGATAATAGACACAGGATCAGTATGAGTTGCAAGTGACTCAATGGCACACAACAACAGAGATCCTTTAGAAAGTTATTTAAAAAAAATCACTGCTATCAAATCAATGCAGGTTTCTGGCAATCCCCTATTAGGTTTCTGAAGCTACAAATCTTTGTAAGAGGAGAATGCCCACCTTTCTCCCCTGGAGCAGCTTGCAGATTTGAACTGCTGTCCTCCAGTTATCAGCGCATCATATAATGCACTATGCCAGCAGAGTTCCTGTTTAAAAATCTCTAGTAGTATTGAGGAATTCTGAGAAAATTTAAGTATCTACATTCTTAAGTTATTAACTCATTATAAATAACAGACTTCATCAAAGGTAACTAAGAGGAATTTTGGATAATTAACAGCAAAGGAGGAAGACCTGGTGGCCTAGTGGTAAGAAGCTGCATTGGAATCTAAAAAGCACAATATGAATGAAGAACAGTGAAAAGCACAATATATAAAAACTTTTTAAGCAAACCAATTTTTTTAAAAAGCACTTGGTTTTAATCCACCAGATGCCATATGGGAGAAAGATGGACATTTTCCTCCCATGCAATTAACTGCCTTTGAAAACCTGCTGGATAGGAAGCAATGAGTCAGCTCTGATTCAAAGGCACACAACAGCAAGCAGCAGCAGCAAAAGTAACTATAGAGATATAGATAGAGATAGTACAGATATATATAGATATATACATGCTAAAGGCTTGATCTTGAAGAACAAAATAGATTATCCTGATAAAGAATATTTATACAAAGAACATCTCTAGAATACAAAGTGAAGTCTATCTCTAGGATGTCCTAAAAAGGTACTGGTGTGAGCCAAACACTTTCAAGATAATAAAGCTAAGTGAAGTTGAGATTTCAGATGCAAATGCTACTATAGACGCTATAGCTCTGTTGATCTAGGGGCATGAAGCTGTGCTGCAATCTCAAAGGCACATGATTAGAAGCCACCAGCAACTCCACAAGAGAAGGATGAGCAATCTCCTCCCAGGAAATAAAAAGGCTCTGAAAACCTGCAGGAGGGTTAGCTATAGGTTGGTTCCAACTCTACAGTACACCACAACAAGTATTAGGAGTAGAGGGTGAAGGAGATGTTCTGGAAAAGTGATAAATTCTGCAAAAGAGAAGTGCTGTCATTAAGTGCTATCAAGTCAAATTCAAACCACAGCTATCCTTTGGGACAGTGTATAACCCACCCCTATAGGGTTCTCTAGACTGCAATCTTTATGGGAGCAGATTCCCAGGTTTTTCTGTGTAGCTATTGCAACAGATTTATAACCTAATTGAACTGTAGAATTTATATTAGACAATTGTAGAGAAAAGTGAGGGAGTGAGGGGTTATGTCTGACCACATGGGAATTGATTTTGTGTTGCAGATGATGTTGATGGGGACAGTTCTCCCTTGTGGTGTAACAGGTGTCAGACTCAGCCACCTCCATGCTGCCTTCACTATTTTTTAAATAAGCTCAAACCACCAACCTTTTGTTTAGCAGCCCCAGCTCTTCCAGTAAAATCATGTAAGATGTTATAGTGATAAAAAGAAAAAAGGGGAAAAGGGAGAAGAGAGAAAAGAAGAGAAATGAGAGAGAGGTGAAAAGATAGGGAGAGGTGGAGAAGGAGAAAGACAAGAAAGGGAGAGAAGAAGAAAGGAAAAGACAGAAATAAGGGAAGAAAAAAGAGAGACAGCAGAGAGAAAGCAAAAAACATAATGACAAAGAAGGAATAAAATCAGGTAACTAGAAAAGCAGGGAATTAGAATTATCTAAGTATAAAGTATATTTATCCTCTCCAAATGTAAGAACAAAAATGTTGCTTTAAGAAAGAATTTTAAATTGTTTGGGGGCATGAAGAAATTTCATTCATTTTTCTTATCAGTAAAAATTAATTAGAAGCCCATACACCACTCTTGTTATGGTAAGGATGGGCTCTGCCAGATGGAACCCATAAAAATAGGTCAGTAGTAATTTAAGTATGCTTTAAATGTGCAAGGATGCAAATTGTCAGTATTAGGTCATATGGAACCAGAAAGAGTTTCAATCTTCTTAGGGTAGTTCAGATAGCACGAGACTTGATTGTGGTCATCAGATAAGATCATTTAATTGCATATTCTCAGCACTAACCTGAATCTGAATGCATTTTATATCGAGAATTATTTCACTTTCCTCTTTTATTTTTGTGCCTTCTAGTCAATTTCCACATATCAGTGGTGAATATATACACAGTTTATATTTCTATATAAATTACATTCCTAGAACTAGGGAGAAAAGTGTGTATCCATTTTTTCCTAAGAGAAATATTGGGTAGTAATATTATTGCTATTAGTTCACTAGAAGGACGGCAGAGTCGTCAGATCAATAACCTACTAAAAATACAAACACTGTCACCCAGTATTAGAATGCAGGTCAGAAAAATCACATGCAGAGAGCCAGAGAGGAGGCAATTTCACTGTAGACTCCACCTGAAAGGTTCAAGTTGTTGAAAGACTTTGTTATGAGTTTGGACTACTGCATGAACTCTGGCAGCATCAAACAGAGCTCCTATTATATTCAAGTCTTAAAACGGAAAATAAATTCTTGGGCTGAAATTTAAGGACTTCTTCTAAGTCAAATGGCAAACAACCACCTATTTCCTCACAGAGTAATCTTTTCAGTTGAGCTCTTTCATTTAGAATTGGAAATGATGCTAAAATAGATTTCTGAAAATATTAAATTATAAACTGTCATATTCCATCCCACTTAATGTGAATGAGCTGAGCCTCCAGGATAAACTTGATTAACATAAAAAAAGGGTGAAATCTTATTTTTGTTTCTGGGGAACAAATAAAAAAAGATCTTAAAGAACCCAAACCAACCTATTCCCAGACTGTGCTTGTACTTTCCAAATAACAGCACATGCTATTCCTCTGGCTATCGCTCAAGCAAATATTTCCATTTTAAAAAAAGCTACTCCCTGAGTCGCTTTCCCTGAAATCTCACAATGAAAACGGGTCTTTACATCCAGTGGTTTGGAACTGGCTGTTTAGCCTCCAATGTGCCTTTATGCAGCATATGAGCCTTAGGAGAGGCTTGTCCCTATGATAATGATGATGACAGTAGCAAGACCAAAAACAAAACAGCAGTCAGACTTTGGAACATTAAAGTGGTGCATGTCTGTGCAAAAAAGCACATGACACACATTCTTTCATCATTAAAACCACATGGTAAGGTGGTGACATTACCATTCTTCTTTTACAGAAAAGGATTCAGAAACATGCAAAAGTTAAGTATTTTGGCCAAGATCACATAGTAAAGCCAGTTTATGCAACCCTAGAATCCATGTTTTAACCATCACATTTCTACTGCTTAAGAGCATGAAACATCTAGATATGTGGAAGTATTAACCCTAGGCTTGGTGTTACAGACTGAGTTGTGTGCCTTAAAATACATACTAGCATCCTAATCCTCAATAGATATGAATCCAGGCCTCTGGTTTTCTTTTTTCTGTTAATGACACCATAGCTGACCCTCCAGTGAGATTTTAAAGAGGCTGTGAATTGCACAGGAGATTGCCCATTTTTCTCCAAAGAGCCATGAGTGAATTAGCTGCTTCTGCGAGGTATCACCTTTGGATTAACTGCAAATCCTCATGGACTATGCCACCAAAGCTTCCAAAGAACCATAAAAATTACTATTACTGCAACTCAGAATCAACTCACAGCTGACCCTGCACTGGGTTTCTGAGGCTGTAAATCACATAGAAGGAGAATGCCTATGTTTCTCTCTCCTAAGAAGCAGCTGATGGATTCAAACTACCAAATTACCAAAGAGGAATAGATCACCTTTGGAAGAGCAGTGCAACGCCCTATGTACCACATAGGGAACCACCACAGCTCTCTGTTATCAGTATAGAGTGAATCCTAAATCTAAGCAATTCTGAGTTATAAAAAGGATAGTTCAGACATAGGAGCAAGCACATGCAAGAGGATGAATGATTCCATCTGATAATGAAGGAGGCAGATCAATCTATAAGCCCAGCAATTCCAATAACTGTTTACTACTAGAAACTGAAATAGACAAAGAAGGGCCCTCCCTTAGAACCACACGGTGAATTTGATCTTCCAGCTTCCTGAAATGTGAAAACATAAATTTTTGTTCTTTAAAGCAGCCCAATCATGGTATTTCTGTTACAGTAGTACTAGGCAACTAAAATGGTCTGAGCATTCCAGATTTCATAAAGGCTGATGGACAAGGACCTCCAGTCATACCGTTGCTTCTAAAGAGAGCCTGTGTGTGATAGCTAAGTAAGGTCAGAGATGCAGTGAACAAATCCGTTAGCCCTTTCAAAACACCCAAACGAATTTCCAGTCAGTAAGAACTGAGTCATAGCTGACCCTCAGAGAGTTTTCAGAGGCTAGAAATCACAGTGGACCTGACTGCCCAATCTTTATCTCAAGGAGTTGCTGGTGGATTTGAACAGCCTCCCTTTGAGTTGGTACTGCTTTTTTTTTTTTACCCTCTAAACTATCAAAGTGACCTACACCACTAGGTGGGTAATTAACAGTGGTTAAAAGCTCAGGTTTTGGTATCTGTTAAATGAGAGTTCAAATCCTAACCTAGATGCTTTGTTATTTAATCTCCTTAAATTTCTTCTTCAATGAAAAATCACGAGCAAACTCACACAAAGTTGTGAGCTATAATAAAATAACACATATAAGGTTCTTAGTACAAAACTTGATATACCATACATATTATCAATGTTAACTAATATTATAATGATCTAAATAGACACTGAGTAGAGCTGAAGAACCAAGTTTTCCCATATCCATGTGATACTGGAAAGAAAGCTAACAAGTTGCAGACTCTTTGACTACTGCTTGACCAATGCCACCGCTGCCAAGGGAAGGGTTAGGGAATAGCCTACACTTTATTCAGAAAGGAAGGTGGAATTACTAACCGAGCTGATGAGGTTGGCTCTGTGATTTGGCGTTGAACCCGGGCACTATGAGCACAGTTCTCCTGGACTCCTGGCTGGGTTGAGAGTGGAATGTCAGGGGAAGTGTGGCTGATCTTCATGGAAGAGTCAGGACAGGGGGTGGGAGGGTCTAGGAAGTCCTCACTGTTCTCCTGCTCATTGGTTTCTGTGTCTGTGAAGTTAAGAGGCTCTTGATTGTTGTCTTTGCTACCAGAGGGCAGAACTCGTTCTCGCCACGGGACCCAGCAGAGCTTCCAAGACACAAAGAGAGAAACGCCAAAGAGAGCGAGACCACAGGCAGTGACCACAAGGGTCAGCAAGCTCACGGAGATATCTGCAAAGAAACAAAGATCAAAGGTCAGTGTGATCACTCCTGCCACACCCTGCATGGAGAGAAGAACCCTTCCACCCAGTCATCCCTTAGCAGCAGACTGGAGAAGGCCAGGAGTTATCAGGAACCTGATCCTGGGGCAGTCACAATGAGGATTCACAAACCTGGAGGCCAGTGAGTAGAAGTACGACAGTAATATCAGAGTCATGTTAAGAAAGAACAGGCAGCTTTCCATAGCAAGAAAAACCCACAAACTAAAAAATTCATTGCCATATAGGCAATTCTGAACCCAGATGACCCTGTAGGACAAAGCGGAATGAAATTTCTGAAGCTATAAATATTTATGGAAGCAGAGGACCACATCTTTGTCTAGTAGAGTGGGCTGGTGAGTTCAAACCACCAACCTTTTAATTAGCAACTAAATAGTTAAGTACTGAACCACCAGGGCCCCTTACTATAGCAAGAGATACAGGACCAATAAAAGTGAGGACAATCAGTGGCCATCAAGTCAAATAAGACCCTCTCCTTTAGTCATCATTCATCACTGATGTATAAGCAGGACAATTTCAGTTATCATTAAAGATGAACTTGTGATTTCATAAAGCTTCTGGGAATTGTCAATATGACAATCTTTAAAAGCAAGAGAGGTTACTTGTTGGTACTGAGGCAGCTCTGACTCATGACTACCCCATGCACATCGGAGGACAACCGTTCTCACAGAGTTTTCAAGAGATGATGTTCTGGGAGATGATCCTCAGGCCTTTCTTTTGAAGTGCGTGCGAGGGGACTCAAACCTCCAACCTCTCAGTCAGCATCTGAGCAACTGAATGTGTTAACTATTTTCACAACCTATGGAGTGAGTGCTTTCTTTCTACAGCTGCTACCTTTTCACAGTGTGGCACTTTTTTTTTAAATTCAGATTTTATGAAAGTTTATAGAGAACTTGGATTTCCATTCAGTCATTGTTACACATTTTCCTCCCTGTCCATCTCACCCACCAGTTTGCTTTTCTTTTTGGGAGAAAAAAAAAATTCTTTCATTGTTGTACAATTCCCACCCCCCACACCCCGCCCAGTCCACTTTACAACAGTCCAGAATAAGAGCTGCACAATAAGGCTTTTTAAATCACTGTAGTAAATACATAAAACATTTTTCATTTCAACTTCAGTGTACAGTTCAGTGACGTTAATTATGTTCATCAGGTTATTCAACCATCACCCTTACTCATTCCCAAAGCTTTCCATCAGCTTTTAAAGAAGCTCAATGTCCCTTAGTTACTGGTATTCTATAAGCAAAATGAAACCTTGTAGATTTTATAGCCTTAACAATACCCATCACTCAGTGGTCACATCCCCAAGTCCCAGAGCAGATTGTCATGCTTTGCATGTCCTCAATAGTAGATCTTGAGACAAGGATTCAAAGGCAAGTGATTTGTTTAGGAGATGAAGGAAACATCTGAAGAGAAGTGAAGTGAGGCAGGGAAAGCATCCAGGAAAAATGGGCCTTGATTTCCAAACCAATTACCCAGCGGGGAGCCTGCTGGAGATTCTCTATGCACCTTAGAGTTGCTCTACCAGGGACAAGAGATCTGGGTTATTTATACATCCTCGCCTGTCATTGATGAAGAGGGGAGGAGGGAAGGTAACCCTCAGGAGACATTAAATTCCAAGCACTTCTAATTTTTAGTAAGATTTGATAAAGTTGCTTCCACAGCCAGAACATTTAAACAAATATAAGTGCTGGTTTTGGAATTAGTATGCATGAATGTTCTGAAGTAGTAATGCTGAGATGACACAGTGGGACAGTGACAGCCTCTCCCACTTGGACTATGCCCCAGAGTCTCTGGCTGGGTCTAAGCAGGGCTGTCTTCAGTGGCTGGGCTCCTAATGTTCACAACAGAGCCTGGCCCACTCCCATATTCTGCACCAACTAGTGTAGAGTCAGGGAGCATGAGGCATCATTGCTAGCATTGTAGTAACTGCAAATTCTTTATTGATGGAACAGTGCTACGAGCCACCTCTGTGATCCACTTCACTCATGAGCCAAAAAATACTCTCCCTAGGTTTTGTCTTTACTGTCTATTACTAATATTTACATTGCTATAATCAAAGATTTCTAGGGGCCAAATCCATGCCTGGTACTGTGCTAGCCTCTGCAGACGAGGAGTGCTGCACACCCTAAACCTTCAGAGGATTCACCAATTGTGGAAGAAAATTAAAAAGGAGTTATTTAATAGTTATAATCTCAACTAGGGAGCTCTGGTGGCCTAGTGTCAATCCCAAAGGCATTTGGTTTAAGGCCACTAGCTGTTCGATGGAAGAAGGATGTACAATCTCCTCCCATGAGATTAACTGGCTCTGAAAACCCATGGGGGGGTCAGCTATGGGTCAGTTCTGACTCTATGGTACACAACAATAACAGCAATCTTAACTAATCACTAGGAATGACAAAAATTGCCAACCTCTCCTGCAAGTCACTAATCCACTGCTCATCTACCATCCATGCATGTTTTGTAATGAATCCAATGAGACTTGATAAATTTTTTTTTAAAAATAACAGTTTATTAATGAAAAGTAGTAGCTTTTAGAAAGAAATTCAAGTGTCCATGCTGGTGAGGGGTCTAACTTAACTTCCTTGATCCCTCCCCTTCAACCTTTGCCCTGTGGTGAAACAATAATGCTTCTCTGTTTGAAAACATTGAACTCAAATAGTTGTTACCTTTCTCTCCTCAAATTTCACCGAAATAGGATAAGCCTACAATATAGTATTGGAAAACAAGGGAGAGCACCATCCATCCATTAGGAAGTTCAAGGAATTTCTGAAATTGTTTTAAATGAAATAAAATCGATGCTGAATACCGCACAGTTAAATTAAGGGAAACTGACAGAGGCAAAAGGGAAACCCAAGCTCAGAGCAGCAAGGGCTAAGATTAGTGTAGGGAGTGGGGTGAACGGAAGAAGAATAAAAGGCATTAGAAACAAAGCCTGTGTCTTACCATGATGGAAAGAAGAGGATGATTTCACCTCAGGCACCACTTGGTTCCAGTAGCTTGCACAGCAGAGTGTAAAACTAGTGGGTGCAAATTTTAATAGAGCCTCTTGTTGGAGGCAGAAGGAAGGAGGCGATATATTTCATGTAATCAGATTGCAACAACAATTATCAATCCTTGTCACTCCAAAATCCAAAGTATTAAAAATTTAAAAGCTCTGCTCAGAAACAAATCCCATAACACATTCTGTAATTCAAACTATCTCTGAGGCAGAGATGCCTCCCTACATTTTGTTAATCAACCAGTATTGTCTAGACACAGACATCTGGTAGAGGAGGGACACTATAAGAGGTCTTAGTGATGTAGTAACTGTATTATTAGTCACTAAATGTCCCTCTTCCATCAGACTTCCCTCCAAGGGAAGGGCATACTTCCCAATGCCCTGCTATTGGTCTTGACCATGTGACCTAATCTAGGCAATGAAACCTGAGTGGCTATGGCCCATGCCACCACGGACCAAATGCTTCTTAAGTCATACATATCTTTGTCCATAAAAGAAGAGACTTACACTAGAGCTGATCTTTCAGTCTGAATGCCAAAATGAGCAGCTCAAAGTCCAAAATGAGAAGGAAATCTATTCCCAACACATAGTCTAGGTCAGAGCGATAGCTGACCTCCAGATTTGTAAGCAAATCTAAATATCTGATGTGCTAAGCCATTAAAAGTTTGAAACTGTTGTTGTCATGACAAAAGGTGACTAAACCCCCACTGCCATTGAGGCAACTCCAAATTCATGGTAACTCTTGTGATTCACAACAGGATTACTTCAGAGAGGTTTCTTGGCTATAATCTTTAAAGAATGAAATCATTGGGCCTTTTTTCCATGGTACCACTGAGTGGATCACAATCACCAAGCTTTAGGTTATTCTCGCTCTCTGCCACAGAGTCAGAACCAACGCATAGCTGACCCTCCACTGAGTTTCCAAGGCTATACACTGCATGAGAGGTGACTGCCCGCCCATCTTTCTGCTTTGGACCTCTTGGTGGATTTGAATCACCAGAGAGGTGTGATCTTTGAGTCAGCAGCACAACTCGCTGTGGACTACATCATCTGAGCTCCCTTTTGTTTGTATCATATAGGGACCTGAGGAGTCCTGATCACCTACTAATTTAGAGATGGTCTCAGACCATGAAGGAGCTCTATTGTCGTAATCCATAAGGTATTGTAGCTCTCTTGTTTATAGTCCATATGAACCATAAGGTTCCATTTCATCAGCCACTCTGCAGAAGGAAGATGGGTGGTTCTTCTCCCTAGAGGGTCAACTACAAGTGGGAGCCACTGGATAGCAGAAAGTGGAGTTTCTAGACCAGGAATTAGGGTTTTGTAGGGCATTCTCAGTAAACTCTAGAGGGCGCCAACTACATTCACAGTCATCCCTGATTTGTGCATATAATCAAGAAAAATTTCTGGCTAAGAGTATTTTTTTTCATAATCATACAAAAGTACCATTTGCACTGGCGGTGGACCAGGGAACATCCAACAGGAGAAACCAATGGTTTCACAGTACACCAGCTGTTAAGAGTCATCACCTGCCTGGACTTGAGCGACATAAGGCTCAGAGTGTTCCCTGGATATTATACTTGAAACTTCATCTCTTTGTTTAGCAAGTTCTACTTTGGAGTCTCTAATGCCAAGGAACTCATCTCATACTCACTGTCTCAGAACGGGGAGAGGACGAGTCAGCCCAGAATCCCAAAACAGCTTTCTTTAAAAGGACATAAGATATTTCTTAAGGGGTTTTGTTAAGTTTGGTGCATGATCATCAGTATTATTATTAATCTTTAAATCATGTCTGATTTTGTACTTTTGTTATTTTCACTTAAAATCTGAAAAAACAGTCACATCAAAAATAATTACAAGATCATCATCTAAAATTATGCTGGAAGGTCTAATTGGCTAAAATAAAAAACACTTAATACTGGTAAAGATAAGCTAAAGTATTTAATAATTGTA